AATCTTAGTGGGACGGAGTGAGTATTAAAATGTAGTTTTAATTGAAATTTAAACAATCACAAGAACAATTAATTAATTTAATGTTACAACATACGGAAAGACCAGAAAAAGATTTCTTGTTCTGATGTATGCAACAAAAATATAAAGAGAAAAAGTAATAATATATAAACACGTTAATTGAATTATAATGAATTTAAAAAAACCTTCAATAGAAACATCAATATATGTAATTCCTAAAGTAAATCAAAATTTTCGTAACAAATATATATATACTCTCTCGATCGTATAAAATTTGGCCAATTGATGTTATTTACATCAATGATTATAAATTTTGGGCAATGATTTTAATAAGGGAAAGTTCTCGAAATGGGACTAAAAAAGTTCGAAAATTCCAAAATAGGGCTGTCATGTTTTTATTCCCAAAATAGGACTAATTACTGCCAAATTTGGAAAATACTGCCATGTTTGAAGTCTGGTACTGTCAAAATATGACAGTAATTAGTCCTATTTTGGGAATAAAAACATGGAAGTCCTATTTTGGAATTTTCAAACATTTATAGTCCTATTTTGGGTAATATCTCTTTCAATAAATATCATTGTTCTACCAATCACACTAGGCACCCGATCGACGGCCGACTAGTCCCGCCTAAATGCGAGACTACTATGAGGTGCCTGAGTGCTTAGATTAATTCTGAAAATTTTCAAACCAATCAAAACATCATAAAATGCTACTTTCATATTCTTAGTGAATGAATTGGGATGTTTTTAATAATAGGGCTTGAATTGGCTAGTCTGATCTCACCTGGTATGTTTAAGCCTGATTTAGTTTGGTCATCCATTACCAGATATAAAATTTGTGTCCTAGTCTATTATCATATTTGTGAGAAATTTAACTTTTATATTGTCATGAAAATATTTTTAATAAAAAACAACCTCATATAATTTTCATACTTTAATTTAAATAATTTCGTTCTAAAAATATCATTAGTCAGACTTGGTCATCATTACATTAAAAAGTTAATATGATCATGTTTCATGGAATGGGGAGTATAAAATTAGGAATTAAATTGTATTTTTAATTTGATTTTAAAATAAAACACTGAATAAAAGATGTGTAAGTTGATGTTATTTGTTCAAGATTTTTCAAGTGGCTTATAGGAGGTATATCACGTCACTACTACTGCGTAATACTCCGTATCAAGGGCGGATGCACCCTTATAACGATGGGGGCACTTGCCCCCAATAACATTTGACCTTTTTGTTTATTTTCTTTTGCTTTTTGTCAATTTATCACTTGTGCCCCCAACAAAAAAATAAGAGTGCCCCCATTAAATACTCCCCAATCATTTTGAAATGGAAAAGCTACGGACTTTGCTATATATATGTCCATGAAATTTACTTTGTATTTAAGTAGGAGAATATTCTCTAAATAAGATTTAAAAAATCTCAAATAAGAGTAGTGATTATTTTCTTCCTAAAATAAGACCTATGCATTCATATTTAGAATTTTTATTATTATTTAATTCTTCTAATTGTACTAGATAAATCATTTGTTAGGAAGATAACATATTTAATTCTATTTTAGAATTTTTTTTTATATTTTAGTCTTATTTGAACAATTTCTTTTTTATGAATGTTATAACTTGCATGATTTTCATCTCTTAAAATTAATTTATATGTTGTCATTTCAATCTTTTATGACTTTTAGGGCGCGTTGGTAACCCAGTCTTTCGGTTTATCAGTCTTAAAGTCAACTTTTTTCATCAAGAACGTAAATTTTGATTTGGCACGCTAAGTTTTAAGGAGTATAATACTCCGTAATAAAAATACATAGGGTTGATGTTACCTTTTCTGGCTGGATTGACTAAAGTTATTGTAGAGGACCATTTTACTTATTTTTTTCATATGATTTTTATTTATTTATTTTATTAATAATATATATTTTAATTTTTTCCATAATTCAATTGAATCAGTCTGTTCAACTACTTCAGCCAGAACTTCACAAATATTAACAAAATTATTCAATTTAAGTATTATCAAACAGGCTCTTAGTGAATATGATGCCCCCAACAACTATATTTTCTAGATCCGCCCCTGCTCCGTATTATTATACTACTAGTGCGTAATACTCCGTATTATTATACTACTAGCTAGTACTACGTATATTTTAACTTGACAATTATAAAGCCTAATACCGAGTAATTTTCCAGGCATGAACCGGATAACGTGCTCAGTAAAGTGCACGTAACGTGCTTAGTAAAATTATCGCTTTTGCTAGAGGTACACAAAATGTGTACACATTTTGTGTACTCCAAGCATTTTTCTTTTAATAAATAATCATCGCTCTTGCGTAATTATGGACCACCAACCTAAATGCCGTTTTACGCTTAAATTGTTGGGTGTGTTTCGGAAAATAAAGAAAATTAATTAAAATAAATTAATTAAATAAAATGACCAGAGAAAAAACAAGAAAGGAGATGAAGCAGAATTAGTCAAAGCTCGTGCTACGCACGATGTCCTTAAAACGTATTTGTTGCCTCCCACGGTGCTAGGAGCGTTGCAACAATAGTTTCCCAGGATACGATGACTACGAACTAATGTTTGAGCACACAAACAAAAGTTCCAGCGAACGAGAACAAGTCTGAACACTCAGGGAATTTTCAGAATGCTAGCAGTGTGTTTTTAGAGCTAAAATGTGTATGGATTCGTGTAAAATCGTGTAACAACGTGTGTTGTTGCAAACCACCTGCCAGCCATTATATAGGAGGATTTGTTGTGTGTAAATGGTGAATTAATGGACATGAACATTGGGCATTAATTGTTGTAACGTTTCAGAAGCGCGACAGAAGACCTCCATCAGAACACCCCGGGAGGGGTTCTGATCGGAGGCCAATCAGAAGACCCCAACTCTGATCCGCGGCCATCAGAGTACCCCCAACTCTGATGAGCGGCCATCAGAATACCCCATGAGGGGTTCTGCCATCAGAACACCAACGAGGTGTTCTGATCCGTAGGCTTCTGTCCGAGCACTTCTGCCGCTGGGAAAAAATTAAACGTTTCGGGAAGAAAACAAAAATTAATCGTATCTCTTGAGAGATAGATTTTTGGACGACATTCGTGTCCGCAAGTCGCGGTTTTTCTTCTCCGAATTCAGGATTTGATTTACACCCCCCCTGCGCGCGTGGAGAGAGTCTTTACCCTTAAGAATCTTAACTCCATAAGGGGGGAGTCCCTTTATAAAGGGTTGCAAATCCCTTGGGTTTTCCGGTGTGGGAAATTAACACTAGAAACCCATCCTTTTTCCCAGTTTTTCCATTCTAACGGGTAAACTTCGAAAAGCGATTTCTCATTCACCCGTTATCCTTTTTTAGCGTACCATATATCGAATTGTAGCCCTTAACAAGGACAATCCGAAACCACTTTGACCCGACCCAAATCGGAAGTGGACCCCACTCAAAAAATTGCCCCAAAATAGCCATTTAATGCAATTTTTCACACATTTTTCCAACATAAATTACTTGAGTTGTGCGAGTGATTTGTCTATAAGCACCCTAAATGGTAAATCAAAGTCGGTCCTGAGAAAATAGCGACCTTGTGCAATAAAAAAATTGGGTCTTATTTTCCAAGTTCCAATACAAGTATTTTTTGTATTAACCGTGTTATTTCCACATAATTTTCAGCATCTTGTTGTTCACCTTCTTCAGCTTTTCAAGTTTCTTTAATAGCAGTCCTATTGAATTTAATTAGAATGCCTTTCTCTATATGCAGTGGCGGATCCAGGATAAAATTTAATTGGGGGCGGAAAAATTAGGAAATACAATAGAAAAAAAAATCTTCCGTTCTTTTTTTCTTTTCCCCGGGGGCGTCTGGGGGAGGGGGGTTGGGGGGTCTGGAGTAATCAGGGCTGAAACTCACTCCATTGAGTTTCGAACCCGAGACCTCCCGTAAGGGAGAGTAAGTCGGCGACCAGCTGGACTGGACGCTACCTCAATCTTCCATCCTATTTTTATATGACTTGTTCTGGTTTAGCATAATTATTAATGAAGTGATTGAAAAAAAATTGTCATTGAGATTTGAATATAACAAAGTGAAATGTCAGCCATATTTCCTTTTTGACACTTATTTTGGGACAACCTAAAAGGAAATTAAGTAAGACGGGTAAAATGAGATGGATGAAGTAATAAACTATATGTAATATTACAATAGCAAAAGTTTTAACAGAAAACGTCACAACTATTCACATGTACCAAACTCTATAAGATGGCAAAGTTATCGTAACAGATGTAATATTATAGTACTCCATCCGCCCCAAATTGAGTTGCAAAATTGACTTTTGAGTCAAACAGATTCATTTATTCACTTAATTAAGATATCAATTCGTAATTAAATTTTAATTTGAATTTCGCAACTATACAAAGATTTTAATGTAGCTTTTGAGAATTTAAATTTTAATTATTAAAATTCAATTAATTATCAATAGGGAAAATGTAACTTTAACATTGATTGACCAAAAATATTGACTTTGCAAAACTATTTGGGACAGATGTAGTATACATTTAGAATTTTTAATTACTAAATGACATTTTCTATTTTCTTACAATTAGATAAATCAATAATCCTATAATGAATTAATAACATAATAATAAGTTTAATAAGATGACTTAATATTTATGTTTACATAAAAATAAAATCTCTACCCAGGACTAAACAAAACCAAGCAAGTTCATGGGCCATTCAATTGATAAAGAAAATTAAAACTAAGGGGGTGTTTGGATCTGATTCTCAAAACTGATTCTGCTCCTTCAGAGAGCAGAAGCAGAAGCTGGAGTGTTTGGGTGAAATTCCAGAAGCACTTCTGGAGCTCTAATTTACTCTCAGAATAAGTTTTTTTAGAAGTTGGGGGGTACCAGCTTCTGAAAACTGATTCTGATTCTGCTTCTGCTTTTAAAAAAGAAGCAGAAGCAGAATCAGTTCCAAACACCCCCTAAATTGAATAGCAGAACAAATGTGTGGCTAACGTGGGGAGTCTTGGCCTTCGTATCCTGTTGCAGAGCTTGACTACTTCTCCACTCATAGGAGTCATGCATGAAGGCTAACAATTGAAGGATTTTCTCTAAATTTCTCTAATTTCTATTAAGCCGTCATCATCAATCATCAAACGGGTTTAGCCGTTTGGGTGATTCTATGATCCTGAAGTCCGATTTCCAGATTTTCACAACTTGGACTGGGACGGTCCTGGGTTATAGGGGGCAACAGATTTTTTCTGTTGGGGGCAATTTCTTGGATTCCTAATATTTATTAAGAAATATAGGAGTTTAGTGAGCCTTTATTGGGGGCAGCTGCCCCCCCCCCCCACTGCCTGTGTAGATCCGCCCCTGTCTATATGCAGCCGCCTCCCTCGTGCGTAGGGTTTCTTCTCTCGGTGCAATCTTTTGCGACGCAATTTGATCGACGGATTTGGGGTCTTCGTTCGCAGCAAAGCATCGGGCTCGGGCTTTTTTGAAGGGAAAGAAGGCAGGGCCAGCTTTTCGATCCCAATAGGTCATCATTTGATCATGGCAGAGATGGAGGAAATGGTTGTCAAGTGTGATAACATGGTGCTCGGTGGTGATGAGGAAGAATTGATTCTGGACGAGGAGGTCGATGGCGAGGAGGAGGCTTCGAATCGGAGCAATACCTTTCCGGTGGTTGGCACTGTTCACACGGACATAAAAGTGAAGTTTCCAATGCTCAGGGATCTCATGGCGTCTATCTGGCGCCCCAGCCGGTAAAGAAATATCTATCAAAGAGATAGGCGAGAAAAGGTACTTGTTCACTTTCTATCATATTGTTGACATGGAACGTGTTTTAGGTGGCAGACAGTGGCCATACGAACAAAATTTATTGGTATTGTGGTCGTTGAAACCGGGGGATGTTCCTCTTAGGGTTCCCCTGAATGAGGTTGAGTTTTGGGTGCAGGTACATAACGTACCTTATGATTATATGAATTTAGGTGTTGCTAGGAGAGTTGATAATTTCATTGGTAAATTTATCAATTTTGACAAAAGTCAATTTGAAGAGAGTTGGAATTCTTACATGAGGATTAGGGTCTGTATGGATGTCGGTAAGGCTATGAAAATAGGTATGACACTGAGGAAAGGGAGGGAAGCCAAGCATAGAATGGATTTTAAATATGAAAAATTGTCGAGTTTTTGTTTTGCTTGCAGTATTATTGGCCATGCTGACAGGTTTTTTCCTCTGCCCTACGAGTGTGAGAAGAAAGTGATGAGTGTGCCCTAGATACATGATGTGAGTTTTCTCGCACTTAAAAAGATTGTAGAACAGTGGTTGTAGAACAGGGAATTAAAGATTAACTAAATTCAGCGATTAAAAAGAAATAAAATAAATAAATGCAAGTGTGCGAGATTGATTGGTGAATTAATATTAAACTAATGAAGATGAACGATTAAAATAAAAGTGGTTTCTTCTCAATTAACGACGAAGGAAACAGGGATTGATTCCGGGGTAACCAGATTTCTGGCAGATCAGGCCTAATTTACATGAATTTAATTTAATTGAGCCTAGCTAATCATTACTAAGTTCTTACCGCTCTCGCGGCGTAGAGTACAATAATTTAGGGGACCAGGCTGATCTCTCATGCGACAGGATCCTAAATTATTGCCAAGACGAGCGAGCTTACGGCCCCTTAATCGCTACTAATCTCTTAGCGAACGATTAAGTGTGTGTGAATGTGTCCTAGAACAAATTAGATCTCTCTTAATTTATTCTACATGCAATTGTAATTCTAGCTGCAGTCTAGGTTACAAGAGATATCAATTAAATTATTCAAACACAAATTAAATGGCATTCATGCAATTAAACCGACAAGAATCTAGCCATACATCATGATTAACCCCTTCATCAACCCTAAATCCCTAATTAAACTACTCACAATTCATAATTGAAGAATCAACAGAATTGAGAAGAATAGAAATAATTGTCATTAATTAAAAAGATGAACTTACAAATAATCCCAGGGTCTTGGAAGAAAATAGCGTAAAAACGGTGTTAAATTCGTCCCTAGGCCTCTCCGTAATGTTCGTCACGTCAAAATATGGGTATGGGGGTCTTATTTATAGAAAACAGATGAGTTTGGGCTGAACTGGGACTAAAAAAGGGTTGAAATCCGCGTCTCGGGTGTACGCACGATCGTGCGTACCTTGCCACGCACGATCGTGCGTAGCAGGCAGAATTGTTGCCGCGTTTTTGGCTCTTACGCACGATCGTGCGTCCTTTTACGCACGGTCGTGCGTCCGTGCTCTTCAGCCTTTTTTCTAGTCCGAATTTGACAAAACTTCCTTCATGAAAGTTGTAGATAATGAAGTCCTCTATCCACCCCAACTTGCCGAATGTGATTTGAATCATCAAATCAAGAGATATGACCAAAATGGTGGAAGGTGTCATTCTGAAATCGCAACAGAGATCATCTGACTTCATCGTCTGTTTTCACTTTCTTCCTCTCAGATTCTTGCAAAGGTGTCTTCATATGATTTGTAGCCATTGAAGTTGGCTTTCCTATGGAACTTGAATCGTGTACATTGGATGTTTCTTCAAAGAGATATGCTTGAACGATTGACCAAAGGTCATCCTGATCGTCGTTTTCCAACTTCATTCATCTTCTTTTTGATCCCATAGCCAATCCTAGAGCTCTTTTGTCATTAAATCTTCATCGTGAACCTCCCGGTGACCTCCAAAGCTCTCAATCCACTCTCAAATGCATCTCGAATCATCCCGATTGCTCCTCAAGTGCCGATGTTGAACTCTAAATTCCTCATTTTGACTCCAAATGCAACAAAACTCGAACCAACACATGTTAAACATAACTTGAGCTAAAATTAAGACTTGCAACACCTTAAATCTAGGAAAACCATCAAAATCCAATCCCAACACGCATCAAATGCGTGTCTAAATACGGACTTATCAGATTCCCCCACACTTAAGCTTTTGCTTGTCCTCAAGCAAACTGAACAACGGGACTTACGATAATCACCACACGGAATCAAAACAATTAGCATGCACACGTAGTTAAAGGAATATTCACAGAACAGGCAGACTAAACCAAGAAAATTCTTCCCTAAACTACATCTTTGTACTCTAGCTAAACTATTTGACAAAGTATTCACAACATCCTTAGAGTAATGACAGCATACACAAATAAACTAGCTATTGATGAGATGGACTTGTGAAGGTGATGGTGAATGGTGAATGGTAATAAACAGTCCCTTTCTTTTGAGAGATTGGAATATTCTAACAAAGACTCAATGCATTCAGGAACTTCAGGGCTATTCTTAGGATCAAGGAACTCAGTAGGCCACAATTTAGGAACAATCATTTAAACCTATGCAAAGAGTAGACACGGTGTACAACTAAGCTAAACCGTCTCGGCACATTTGTGCTTTGACGTATACTTGAAGTACGCGAAGGACTAAAGCTAATTTTTGCAATAGCCTCCAAGTTCATTAATTAAGTTTAGTTTTCCTTGTCATGTTGGCACGAGAACGCCATTTCTTTCGAAAGATACCCAAGTCTCATCTTACGCTTTTTGACCGGGGCTCCCATTCTCTTTTTCGGAAAGTAAGAGGTCTAGCTATATTAATTTTTCACCTTTCGGATTCTTACTAGACATTACCCCATTCTAATCTCAGCCTCACCAAGGAAAAATAGCAATTTAAGTTCATTAATTTCAAAGTGAATCCATGCCTACAATGCAATCCTCGAAAGTATCATATTCCTAAAAAGTGACTGCTCTTACCCCATTTGGGTATAGGAACAGTGCCAAAAATGGCTCCTACACAAATTCCCTAAACTTAGCAAATTAATCCCCTAGTTCCCTAAACATCAAGACTAAGCCAGAAATATTCACGGGTAAGGAAACACGGTCCATTTGGCTTTGGAGCTAAATTAATTGGGTAAACAAAGAATGGTCAGGCTCAAAATGGCTTCTCCTAAAGGATTTTTTTTTCAGGTGGGGGGATGATTAATGGAAAATTCATGGGTGACTAATGCCTTCATCCTCTCAACAACTTAGATTATAGTGCAAGCAATTTAAGCCTAAACACTTCAAGGATGTTCTAAAAGTATAGTCAAAACGCTAGCCAGCTCACAAAGACACAGTTTAAAGAAAAATTTTCAAAAAATTTTTTGCATGAATTTCCTATGAATATACAACTAACACTTGCGCATGCTAACTCTAATAAATCTCATGTAACAACCACTGCCCGAATGCCCAATTCACTCCCCCACACTTAAACTTTGGCATCGTCCTCGATGACAAAAAATGCACTATGCACAAGGGGGTAAAGAGGATAGGGTCACGCGTGCTCAACTTAACTCAAGTCAATTATTACAAACAGGCGATTATTAGAGTCACAGAAACTTCCCTATGGCGCTGGTCGGTGCAGAAATAAACTGAGTCAATGTAGTCCTCGGCACATCATCCATACAACAAGACCCTGATCTGCAAAAACAAAACACACAAACACAAAAACAAACCGAAAAAAAACACCCTAGACTGAGTCCCAAGTGAGGTAAAAGTCTAAGGGGGGGGGGTGAATAGACTTTTAAATCTTTTCATTTTTCAGCCCCTTTTTCTCTAACTGGATGTATTCCAATATCTTTTGGGAGATATTGAAACATGTAACGGAAGTCTTGACCTCAACAGGGTGACACTTTATAGAAACAAATGTTATGACCCTTTTAGTTATGAGAGATGGGTTAAACATGGTACAAACGTATTTGCCAGAAACAGATGACTCAGGGAGCAGGCTGCCGAAAACTGAAGGAGATGGCTGCCAGACAATTTGGGAGCTGTCTGCCAAACCTCAGGAGCAGGCTGCTGAAAAGTAGTTTCTGCTTATTTTAGTTAAGGTATAGTGAAGAACTATACTCTAACATATTGACTGGATTTAGAACTAGTCTAACACATGAGTATGAAGGATTTAGACCTATAGAAATAAGTCACTTTGAAGAACAGATAACAAAGAGATGACTCACAGTGAACTGAGAATTGAAGTTCATTGGACAGTTTTAGTGAGCAAGTTGTTTTGTTGTGAAAGTGAGTGAGTACTGAATTTGTGTTAGGAGCAGAATGTATAAGTGACACAAGATATATCATGGTTCAGAGGTGATGTAATCCTCCTACATCCAGTCGCAACTTATTTCACAAGGAACTTAAACACTGTTCCAAGCTATTCAGTCCTCCCAAGGTTTTTCACTAATGGCATTGACTTGCTAAGAGCTACTCATGTTCTTGACCTTTCTCACCTTCTGAATTTGATCACAAAGCCCCCCCAGAATGTCTAACACTAGTCTAGAATACATAGGTGTATTGCTAAACTACCAACTAATCTAAGCTCTATAGATTTTTATGAATTGTAGCTAGTCTAAGAGGATAAGACGAGTGGGGTGGTAGCCAAAGTGTAGAAGGAAAATCAGTTGGCTGGATTTCATCGTGTAGAGTATGATTTTCTTCTATCCACTTGGCTCTTCTCGTTTTACCACACTTGGTATTCCCGCACTCCTTCTGTATTTATAGACTTGATCATTGCATCTCCACCATTGGCTGAGAAAATGAATCTTGATCGTAGCTTGATCTACTTGCTTTGTTCCACTTGACTGAGGCAACATGGTTTGTCTTTGTCACGTAGTGACAAGGATCAACAATCTTCAGCTCAACTTGTTTACACATTTCAATGCAAGATAAAAGATGCATTATCTTTATTTTCTTACGCGTAGAAACTAGTATAAAGCTGAGTGATATTTCAATGCTTCCTTTACAAACTAATGAACACTTGCTTTTGGTAAAATACATTTATAAGAAATTTATAATGTGATAAAAATCTCTTATAAATTTACTTTTCATCAAATTGTTTGACTGCAAGTTGGTCTTTTGTTTAACTGTTTTGTGCTCAGAGAAGAGAGAATTGGATTTCAGATGAGTTTAACTGAAAACCCAGTTTTCAGCTGGCTGCCAAGTATTTCGGCAGGCTGCTGATTTCTGGTGTTTTCCAGCTAGCTCATTCCTAACAATGTATACCAGATAACTATTTTCGTACCTTTTCTTTTTTATCTTTTTCCTTTTGTTTTATGGTACGTTTACTTCTCTTTTTAGTACTCTTTGCTTTTTATGAGTACTTTACCACTAAATATTGATCCCATTACAAATAAACAAAGTAGAACATAAGTAGTAGACTAGTCTAATACAGGGATAATAAAAAGGGGTGGCATCATCAAACCTATTACATTTAATCATCAAAATCTAGGGGACCTAACAGAAAGTGATGGCCCAACCTTTTGGGGTTAGTCTCCGCGTGGGAGGGGGGGGGGGGGAACTCAAAAGATGAAGGCTAACAAATGGCTCATGTCAGAAGACTCAAGCGGAAGCTCTCTGAACCATCTGGGAAGGAAACAAAGTGTTACAAGTGCCAGAGATGAGGCAATTGGACCCGTGGGGGGCCAAGGAGAGCGGCACCGAAGCTACTCGAGGACTTTCAGGGGACAACATGGATTTGGATCTGTCAAAACAACGAAGAGGGGGCGGGTCCAGACCTCTAGGGTCGGAGGATGTTTGTCAGCTGTGGGAGGATGCAGGTGGGTTTCCACTACTTTATTTTGTTGTCTTTGTTTATTTTGATCAGATTATCGCTATTTTTCCGTTGTTTTTATTTCCGTCAGACTCTTACATTAGGTTGGGGCGATGGGGGGCTATTCTTAGCACGTCAGGCTCATTTAGACCCACTACAGGATCAGCGAACCATATTGTTTTGTCTAGGGTGATTGCTTCTAAGTCTGGTTCGAGGGTCGGTGGTTGGAAGGGGTCCTTTTATCTTCTTGTTCCCTTGCTGAATGGTTTGATTTCAATTTAAGTCGCTTTGTTCCAAAAAAAAAGTTTCTTTAATAGCAAATTTATCAAGATCTTCCGAGACAAAATTAACTTTTCAAGTCTTCTTTTCTTTTAAGCTTCTCATATTCAGATGAGTATTTCTTTGGAAACATAATTACCACCGTCTACCAATGATTGAAATCCCCCACTAATCCTTCACATGTTTAAAATATACTTAAGAATTTGGATAAAACCATGAAATTACGAAAGACTAATTGTAAACCAAAACAGAGAAATAAGCAACTATCAATTAAATACAATAACTAAATAAATAAGTAAATAAATAAATAAATAAATAAATAAATAAATAAATAAATAAATAAATAAATAAATAAATAAATAAATAAATAAATAAATAAATAAATAACAACAACCTAATCAAGTAATTAGCAACTAAACGGAAAAATTAACAAACTTTCCAAAAGGGGAGGCGAGCCACAATCCACAGAGGCGCATTCCAGAGCAGGTAGAAGAGTTGAGAGCTTGTGGCCATGGGACACTGAGACGCAGAAGGGTTGTTCATTGTCGGGCTGAGGCCGTTGAGCCAGTGAGCCTCCACTGGGGGCCGTGAGTCCGTCCGCCGTCGCTCCCTGGTTTGGCTACTCGGTTTTGTGGCTTGTTTCGGCTCGCTTCACTCGCTTGAATTTCCCACTTTCAATTCGTTCTTCACTTTGGATTCGCTCTTCTTTTTCGTTCTTCACTTTTGGAGTTGTTTTCTCTTCTTTGGATTTGGGCTGCAGCCGTACAATACTACTACTTTTTTTTTGGAACCTTCAAAAATAATTGGCCCTGTGTGAATGTGCTGGCTGCACATGCTTAGGGCCGGCCCTATGGTAAATATATAAGAAAAAAACCATATGCTAAAAGTGGGCAAATTCAAGATAGGATAAAATTGTGAAATTGGTATAATCATGTCTTCTCTCTATTCCAAAAATTTTGTCAAATTTTCTTATTTAATCGTCCTAAAAAGTCCAGTCATTTCCTTTAAAGTAAAAAATGTATAGTTCGTGTTATTTCTTTCCCTTCTACACAAATTTTAGCCTTTTAAATTTATTACTCCATCTGCCAAGCTTAAGGTTCTCAGAACTATTTAGGATGTCCGAGGTAAAGGTTTCTTTTTCTATTTTAGAAAATAATAAGCACTTTTCAATGTCAATTTAATCGATAATTATTAAAAATAATACACTCATAACATTGCAGTTATCAGCCATGTCCTCATTATATCATATACTCGTCAAAATAAATTTTCAAAATATACTCAAATTATCTTATAATTATAGTCTAAATAACTGTGTAATTTTTCAGTGAGAACCTTAACTCGAGAAGAAGGTAGGATATTATTCCATGTACCGGTCCAAGTTGGCAAATGATGATTTTTATAGGATGAGACAATGTTCTAAAAGACGCACGGTGTGACAAGGCCAAGCGTAAGTCAAGCCTAGGATGGAATAGGCATAATTTAGGCGTGAAAAGACATTTTAAATTTGTACCGATAATTACATAGTTCTATTTTATAGTGATATGTGAACGAAGAGAATAAATATCTAAAAAGTATTACTCCCTCCGTCCCGCTAAGATCATTCCATCTTTGATTTATGGTCCGTCTTACTAAGATTGTCTCGTATCAAATTTGACAAAGTTTGAGTGTTTGTAGTTCATTTTTACTTTATTATATTTCAGCAATTCAATATCAACTACATAAACTCACTTTCTTAATAATCATACCACCTCCTCGTGTCCCAATGCTAGTGAAACAGAGGCAGTACACAATAATGAACCTAACTTTGTTCAATAAACACAATTTAAAATCTATAAAGTGTAAATACAAAACGATGTATTGTGTCCTTTTACTACTCTGTATTAGATTTTATTCCTAACATGTTTATAAAAGAAATTTTGTAAATGTAATTAACTTTTTCTTTGTAAAATAATTTACCTAAAAAACATCTGCCTTTTCACGCCCAGACTTATGCATTTTCACGCTTTTAACGGTCAACTCTTCATTTGATCGCCTTTTTACCACCTTTCTACTATGCGAGGCTTTCTGTTGTTGCAGCATCACGGCAAGGCCCTGCTTTTTTCTTCTGCTTTTTAAAACTTTATCAAAATAGATCGATAGGAGGAATAGAAAAGGAAAAACTGTATAATTGAATTAAAATTTATATAGACGAAATTCACAAACATTTCAAATTTGACTCCGAACTCGAGTAGAATTTGATCCAATCATATCTTCTTGTATTTTGTTCTGTTTAAAGCGTTTTCTAAAACTCGTCTTCCGACATCGGATTCAAAAGAGAAATAATAAAAATCACCATTTAAATGTTAATTAAGGGAGGGGGAGTAGTAAAATTAAAGCTACGCCAGTCAGCGGCCTCCATGGCTTATTGTGGGAAAGAGTGGTAATTATGTGTGTTTGATTAGGGTAGTCCATATCCAACATATTTAGAGCCCGTTTGGTAGCACGAAAATTGGCTGTTTTGGCTGTTTCTGCTGAAATTTATGAAGTTCTGGCTGAAGTGGCTGTTTTGGCTGATTCTGCTGATTCTAGAAAAAAATATTTCAAAAATATATTTTATTAATAAAATAAAGAAAAAATTACATGTAAAAATAGCTAAAATGGTCATCTACAGTAACTTCAGCCAATACAGCCAGAAAAGTAACTCCAACCTTACTTTTTCTGCTTATTACACAATTCAGCACGCGAAAGTAAAAATTACGTGTTTGGTGAAAAAGCTGGCTGATAAGCCTGATAAGCCGAAAAAAGGGGTTTCCAAACGGGCTCTTAAAGTCAAGATTTGGCAGAGATGCTAGTTAGAACCCTCCTGTCTATTTACACAGTTCTGAATGGCAGGATGTAATTATTGGCCCGAAGGCCAATGGCATATTTACGGGATACGCCTAATGGACTTGACAAGCGTTCAATAAATGGGTAGAATGATTCTGTCCGGTCATCGTCATTTGGGGTGGTTCCCAGTTGAATATTTTGATGAATTTTTTTGAGCATCTTATTCATCAAGTCTAATTTACTCATACCAAATTTCAGCTGAAAATTCAATCGGTAAGGCATTCAAATGAATTCTTGAAAATAACTGCGCAATTAGAATCACAGTTATCTTCAAGAATTCATTTGAATGTCTTCCCGATTGAAGTTTTAGCTGAAATTTGGTATGAGTAAACTAGACTTGATGAATAAGATGCTCAAAAAAATTTATCAAAAAATTCCACCAGGAACCACCCCAAATTACGATGGCCCGACAGAGCCTCCTAAATAAGGGCTTATTTGATCTTTTTTGGTTAGTACATGGGCTTATTTGCACCTTTTCCCACCCAACAAAATACAAATAACTTTTCATTTGGCGGAATTTTGTAATATTTCCTTCGGTTAACATTTGGATGAGAGGGAGGCACGCAAACTAATAAAAAGTGGGTTATGTGGGAGTTATGTGGTTGATATTGAATTGATAAAGTAAGAATAAAGTAAGAGTAATTTGGAGCCACACAAATTTTGCCTAATTTGGTAAAAGACAATATTAGTGGGACGAACCGAAAAGGTAAAATGGGACAATCTTAGCGGGACGAAGGTAGTAATAAGAAAAAGTAAGATTTCAATTATTTTTAAACTTAAATCAGCAGAATAAGTCAATACAACAACTTCAGACAGAACTTCATAAATTTCATCAGGATAAGTCGATTCAACCGATTTCAGTGTAACCAAGCGGAGTCTAAAACTGTAACCTTTTAAATTGGATTATGCTTTTTGAAAGAAAATTGTGATTATGCATAGATTCTTCAATGAGTTTATTAATATTGAAATTCGTTAAATGAGTTGAATGTATTGAAATTGACAAACTCAATACTAAAGTCATAGAAACCATTGATAAAAGTTTATGGAGTATGAATTTTTTTACTAAATATGCAAAAAAAATTATTAATAAAATAAAGAAAAATTATATGAAAAAATAGCTACAATATTTCATTTCAACAATTTACACCAACTCAATTTCAACGTACTCATTGTGATCACTATACAATTCATAATGCAAAAAAAAGTTATGTACGGAGTATTTAATACAAAAGTCCACTGATAAGGCAAAGTAGATACTAAAGAGTACTCGTATTATTTAACAAAAAGGCTACTAGTACTCCCTCACTTCTATATTTAGGGAGTATTACCTCCGTCACACTAACATCATAACAATAGGATATGAGACTGTTATTAACAGAACTGAGTTTATGTGCTTGATATTCAAGTGATAAAGTAAGAATAATGCAAGAAAGATTTAGAATCATAAAAGTTTTACTAAATTTGGAATTGTACAATCTTAATGGGACGGTTTGAAAAGGAAAAATAAAACAATTTTAACAGAAAGGAGTATTATTTATCTATGCGTTTTTTGTGAGAGTTGCTTCAAATAGTATGATCAATGTTCTAAAAGGCTCTAGGCGCTAATCGGGTGCCAGCCCAAAGCTTAGCGCCTAGGAGGCTAGGCGGGCCGCTTAGACGGGCGTCTAGGCAGAGACTAGTCGGAGACACAATTTTTTTTATCAATATTTTTGCATAAATATGATACATGATGCATAGTAAATTAATACGGTAGTATCATGTTTATGTGTGTGAAAAATACACACACACATATTAACATGCATGAATGGTAGAATTATGACATGCAATAGTATATAATAACTAATCACTTATGTGCTTTATGTTATAAATATTAAATAATAATAATAATAATAATAATAATAATAATAATAATAATAATAATAATAATAATAATAATAATAATAATAATAATAATAATAATAATAATAATAATAATAATAATAATAATAATAATAATAATAATAATAATAATAATAATAATAATAATAATAATAATAATAATAATAATAATAATAATAATAATAATAATAATAAAATTTAAGTATATAACACGAATTTGGTCTGGTCACATAACGGGAATGGCCGTTATGTCCGCTTTTAATACTGTGTTTTATTCAATCACAAATCTGGTCAGGTAATTAATAAATTTGTCCATATTAAAGACCTTTTTATCAGAAGTCGAACAAAATATAAAAAATTACCAAACTGACCTCACTCTAGGTAGTTCGATTTATGCCTTTGAATTTGTAGAGTAAATTAACTCAATTGAAAATGATCAAATATGCTAAATTTGTCAAAAATTGAAACAAATCAACTTAAATGAACCAAACCGACTCAAAAGGGAAGTTTACTATTTAATTTACCATTCAATTGAATGCAAGAAAATTCCCAATCTGCACTCTAGACACTCGTTGTTATCACTAGAAATGAGATCATATAGGTATAATAATAACTTGTAAATTAATATTAAACAAAATATGAACATGTTTACATGTAAAATGCTGGTAAAGACATTATAGTTTAGGACGGGTTTCACACCCAAACTGGTTAGTGCTAAATAATTAGGGCGGCCTATGACCCTATCTCCGGTTTTAATCTCCTAATTGGTCTAGGTTCGCTCCCGATAATTTAAATATTTTTAACTACCTATTTTTAAACTTTTAACTACCTATTTTTCACAACCCATTTTAAAATATTCTCAATGGTTTCAATGAAAAAAACTAATGGGGTCAAAACATGGGCTCCAATCCCGGTCCCAAAAAGTGAGGCTTGAGGCCTCTTTTTCACCGGTCTGGTCTTAGTCCCGACCTAAAATCGTAATTCAAAAATCGGCCATTCCCGAGACCGGGCCTTTCTCCCCTAATATAAACCACAAAAGCAAGTATTTCCCATACAAATTTACAATAGGTGACAACAGTCTCCTAAAAGTCCTTCACTAAAATCTCTTTTAGGTATAAAATAACATTCTCGTTATTGGACATCTTTTCCTCGTTAGAAAAGTTTCACCAAAATTTCTACAATCTCAGATATATTTTTGAACTTTTAAAAGTAATAGAGATTTTTTGTTTTAAGCTCGTACATTTCGATTGTGTCTGCTACTAGTCCTATAATTTTACTTACATGTAGATATAGTTATGTACCTGATAAATTTGTCAATAATAAGGGCTATTTCATCAAAAAGTAGGTGTTCTTACAAAAGAAGTACTTCCTGGTGGAAAGATTCTTAATACAGGTAAATTTATTAATTATCAGATTAAATCCGCAAGTTAGTAAATTTATAAAACCAAATTTATACTTTTGCTAAACGTAATTAAGAGTTATTAAACATTCATTAAAGGATATGAAGGAGGTAAGCGTATATTTTTAATAGTGTAGATGTGTAAGTGATAATACTTGAAACATCAAGCGAGGTCAATATATAGTATAGTACTTCTAAAAACATGTTTTGCAAATAATGAAAAACCAATGGTTTGTGTGCAATAATAAGTTTATTACCAATTTACATATGGGTGGGGTAGTATCCCTATATAAAGTCTCTTTCTACTCTCAATCCTTAAATCCTATCCATAGCCCCCCTGTCTCTCTCTAAACCCGTTTTATATAGAGTTTACCTGTACTGTTAGCAGCTGTCTGCCTTAATGACTGAGTTCACATCAGACATGGAGCTTGGCCTGAGCTTAGGCTTGGGCATCACCGCCAATAAAGACTCCCAAAACGACTCTGCCGGCGCCGACGGAGATTACGATGACGACGCCGAGGATTACGAATTCGTTTCGGCGTCGTCTGAAGAACCTCATGGGAGCATAGATCAGCGCCTCGTCGCTTTCCCATCCCCCATTCCGCTCGACTTCCTACCTCCCGCCCCTGCCCAGTACATGAGCGTCGGGTTTCAGGCAGCGATGCCGGCGATGGTGACGTCGGCGGAGGATCCCCCGTCTCCGAACTGCGCCGCGTCGTCGTTCAGGGCGCTCGACTTCAGCATATTCAAGAGGAAACGGAACGGCTCCGTGCCCGAAGTGGGCGGGGGTGGAAATCAGAGAAATGGGCCCGACGCCGCCGTGTACGGCGGAGCGGCGGAGGCGGACAGGGTGAGTTCGAGGGCGAGCGACGATGAAGAGAACTGCGGGAATGCCCGGAAAAAACTCCGGCTTTCCAAAGAACAGTCCGCTTTTCTCGAAGAAAGCTTCAAAGAACACAACACTCTCAATCCTGTAAGTACAATTAATCATTATTGAAATATTAAAATCAATCACCCTTTTGTCCTAAGATCACTTATCTCTCTCTCTCTCTGTTTTCTTCAGATATCTAGGACTAAAAATTGAAATTATTTCAGGGAAAAATCTATTTTTGGAAAAGTTAACTTTACCCATTTTTAAAACATCTTCTTCTTCTTCTTACAGTCTGGTCAATAATGAAGAACGAGTAAAATGCATCTTCTTTTATTAAAGATAAAAAGCCAGCTTTTTCCATGCTTCTAACTACGTGTGTAGCTTTTTATGTTGTTTAGTACCTCCAAAACAGAATCGGTACACGGTTGTCTTTTCCGAATTTTCTATTATTTAATTTGAAGACTAAATTAGATGAAATTCAATTAATTAATTAAATGTGAGTTGCCAAAACAGAAGCAAAAGCATGTGCTTGCAAAGCAGCTGAATCTCCGGCCAAGGCAAGTCGAGGTGTGGTTTCAGAACCGGAGGGCCAGGTACAATTTTGTGAAATTGTGGGGTGAATAATAATTAAGTCATTTTAGCGGGGTGAAATTGACAGATTTGAAAATGGCAGGACGAAGCTGAAACAGACGGAAGTGGACTGCGAAAACTGGAAGAAATGCTTCGAGACGGTGAAAGTGGAGAACACAAAACTGCACAAAGAAGTTCAGGAACTCAGAGCTCTGAAGACGCCGAACCCCTTCCAGATGCAATTCCCGGCGACCACCCTGACCATGTGCCCCTCCTGCAAAAGGGTCGCCTCCGGATCCACCGCGCCGCCGCTCGCCGCCGGGTCTCTGCCCCGGCCCATTGCATCTCCGTGTCTGTCGTCTGAGCCCAGACTGTTCCCCTTCGCCGCCGCCGCCGTCGCATATAATCCCGGCCACCGGTCTGCAACCTGATGATGTCTGAGATGTAAGATCCAGTGTAAACTAAACTGCTCTGCTGATTCTGGGTTTGTTTTCAAAGATTGATATCTGTGTTGGCAGGGGGCAACTTTTTAGCTCCAAACAATATTATTATTATGATTATTATTATGATCAGTTCAATTTGTTTGTTTGTTTGTTTGTAAGTACTGTAATGGGCAGCGCATGCGTGGTAGATATTGGATGGGTTTTCAATTTGTTGATAATCATTTGGTGGAACCAGGAAGTAAAGTAAACGGGGGAATATACCTTTGTAGCCATTTTAAAATGAAGCAATGATTTTGTACCCACAGACAATCATTGTATGTTCAACTGGCCGGGCAATTGGTAATATGGCAAGTCAAATTTGGTCAAATGCAAATTATCTGTCTAAAGAAAAAGTCAAACGAAACTTGCCGGTCAGAGTTTTCCTACAAAAAAATAGAAGAAATAAAAATACAGTCTTCACTTAAGTAGGGTGGTAGTTCGGTTTGGGCATTTACTCAAGTAACTTATCGAACCCAGCTTTAATGAGGTGTAGCTAGGAGAGTAAGGGTGAAATTTGCGGTTGTGGTCTAGTCTAGTCGGTTTAAGTTTGATCTTGTTTGATTTGAACGAGTCTGGTTTAGTCTAGTAAACATCTGGTCTCTGAGTATTTTATAACTATGAAATTAAAGTTTGGTCTGTTCTTGTTTGTTTAACTCTAGACTGATCTGATTAAGTCTGGTTTGGTTTGGGGACTAGCTGAAAAGTAAAAACATCCTAAACAGAGTTGAATCGAGCTGCAACAAAAACTTCTTTAAAATAATACAAATTTTAATATTCTTTATTTGCACTAAAAATAGTCTTTTCTTCAAATGAAGTGCCCCCAAAATATGCCTATGTGACACAAGGTTATCATGTACTTCATGGGAGGGTTTTAATCGAGCATGTTCTCATGATAGGTGTGTTAGCTTCATTGCTCCAAGATATTGTTTGGAGGTTCGTTTTGAGGGTTCTGCCACATAAAGTTAACAAAAAATTGTCGATCACATACATTAATTATTTGTGCGTCCACAAATTAAACGCTAGTTTGCATACTATTTTACTTGCATTGCATACATACATGTGTGTGTCTATGGGTTGAAAGTTCAATACATCTCATCAAAATTGTAGCCCTTGAGGTCAAGCATACAAGTTTGAGTTAGTAAATTAAATGAACTCCAAGACTTTCCATTTCAAAATGACACATCTAAATTCGAACTTTGTTTTGTTATGGAAGTTGTATAAAAGACCATATATGCTTAATTATAGAATCTAAGTTTCTCTTTCAAGGATAATGTGGGTTGTTGGGTGTCAAAAATGGCATGTACATAACTTGATTACATTCAACTTTATTTTCTTTCTTTTTATGATCTCACATTTACTGCCCCCTACACCTTGACGTATATAGCGTGAAGGGGACAAATGCCCCTCTTAATTTAAAAAACTACACGTACATAAACATGGGCGTGTTGCGTTAATGTGTACGTGTACACATTGTCAAATGGCACACACTCATTTAGCTAAGTTTTAGAGATGGAGGGATGATATTTTGTTCGTCTTTATACTGTGTGTGAAGTATTAACTTTCTTTGCTTGACTCGGTGCCTTGACATGTCGTTCAATGGGCTCTTCTATATTGACTTTGAGTAGGTTTTAACTATATGTTGATTTTTCATCTTATTTAATTAATTTGCATTCAAGTTCAATTTTAAGTGTAGATTTTGTATTTTTTCCAATATTTACACATTTTTACAATTATGGAGATGTTCCGCAAATTGGTTGAATCTGGAATTGATCCAAAAACTTTTTCTTTATTATTACATCTACTCCAAAATTTTGTTCATGCCGATTAATAGAAAATGATAGAAAATGAAAATGCAAAATGCTCCTTTAATTTAACTTACAAGTTCATCTAAAACTAGCTAGTGGAGTATTTAATCATCTCAATTGTCACATAATTTAACGTGAAATAAAAACTTAATGATTAGTACAATAATTAGTAAAATAATTGGGCATGGCAAGGCTCATAATTAAGGTAAACAAATACGGTTATCAAACGTGTTATCTGAGTGAGTGTGCTTGTTATGGTTCGACAACATCGGGAGACGAACTCATTAGTGTGTATTTTATCATGAAAAGGGAAATATAAAAGTCTGACTTCGTTTGTGTTTGACCACCACAATATGTAACTAATGATGCAAAATTATGAGGTAATAACTTTTTTAAGCACGCAGCAAGAGCAAGGTCCAATGATGGAAGAAATAAATTAAAGATGGAGATATCATATCGCGTGTCCGGAAATAGTATAGTAAATAAATGGGGGGTAATAATAAACTTTTAACAGCATCCATCCTATGTATCCAACTACCACTAATACTGTGTGCATTAAATTTGAAATAGCAGTTTTATGAGGCATATAATTTCACACGTGACACACAGATTTTTTCGTAAAATGTGAGATATATATAAGGACAAAACATTGCTCAATAATAACCCATCGTGGTAATATAAATTCATATGCTAGTTTCCCAAAACTTTGAATGTACAGTGAACTGAAAATGCCTATATATATTCTTCATTAGTATTGCTGGTGTCCCTTGGTATTTCCAGCCAGGCAGCTACCTATACCATTTGGTCAAATAACTTCTTCATCAATGGTCCTATATTGTATCCGAAATGTTTGTATACAGACAATTCATTTTGTAGATACAAGAAATTTTCTGTATGCAGAGAACTATGTTTATGCATACAGACATAGTGTGCGAATGATGTACAAAAGAACTATACATCTAACATTTTTTCATTACATGTACTCGGTATTATATTCTTCTTAAATAAGTACTCCCTCTGTCCCGGAAACAAGTTCTCGGGTTGACTTCACACATTTTAAGGAAATAAAGTTACTGTGCGGTAAATTTTACTGTTTGGCACTGTTTCGACGCTGTTTGACAATGTTTTGCACCGTTTGACATTGTTTTGATGTAGGATAACTTTCCATTTAGAGAAATGAGAAGTTTGTTTTGGGACATCCAAATAAGGAAAGTGAGAACTTGTCTCCGGAACGGAGGTAGTATGTGGTAATCATATTGTTACGTTCGAGGTGAACAACATACCTTTAGAAATATACGGAGTACTTGAAATGTTAGTTAAAGCTTTAAAGGTTCTTGGCTAGCCAAATACTGTCATACTTAGGGCTGAGCAAGAACCGAACCGACCCGACAAACCCGAATTTTTTTTCGGATATTATCCGAATGGATACGGATATCCGACCCGGAAACCCGAATCCGAAAATTGGGCCAGGCTTGGGGCGGTTAACGGGCTGCGGGTAGGGTTTATAAAACCCGGACCCGAACCGCCCGATTATCCGAATAGCCAAAACGACGTCGTTTTGGAGTTTATATATATATACACTTATAACTCTGGCTTCCCATCCCAAACCCTATCCGCCTCTTTCTTCGATAGTTCGATCTGTCATACGCTCTATCCTCAGTCCTCTCTCTAGTCTCTTCTCATCTTCTATCTTCAATTGTTCGGACAGTTACTCTCCTCTCGGCTCTCTCAGTCTCAGACTCTCAGACTCTTAGAGTCTCAGGCTCTCTGAATCCTATATTCCTATATTCGTATTTGGTATTTTGGTGGAAGCTCTAAGTCTTTGACACAGAAAGACAGACACACACATGCATTGAAACCTTAATCGCCTAATCGGTGGAAATCGGTCTACGATCATTCGAAGCCCTATTTGGTGGAAGTTCTTAACCTAACTCCGTAAGGTATTTGAATAAATTATATCTACGGTTCAGTTGTGAATTTGTTATGTGTTGATAAATTGACAGTATGATGATGTTGATAATATAATTCATGCTTAATACCCTTATATATTTGACGAATGATAATGAATGTATGATGATGTTGATGTGTTCATGCTTAATAATATATTAATATGTTGTTGTCTCTAGGTTCTGCTGAAATATTTGAAATGTGAACTCTGAGAGTCTGAGTATTGAGAATTCTTAAACCGTAATGATGATAATGTAATTCATGCTTAATACCCTAATGTTTGAATGATGGTGGACTGACGGAGCCTGAGTTTTTTTTCTGAATTCTTAAGTTGTATGCCTAATGTAATTCGTGTATGATTATTCATATGTCATATGTGAATGATGATGGACTGACTGACTGAGGGTTGTCTTAAATTCTTAAACATGTATGCCTAATGTTTGATTATGCATATCATTATATCAGCATATGTGAATGATGATGGACTGAGGTTTGTTCTTAATTCTTAAAACTGTTTGCCTAATGTATGAATATGCATATGCGAATGATGATGAATGATTGAGCCTGAGGGTTGTTCTTGAATTCTCAAAGCTGTATGCCTAATGTTTGATTGTGCATATCAGCATATGTGAATGATGATGAACTGAGGCTTGTTCTGAATTCTTAAAACTGTTTGCCTACTGTATGATTAATTGATTATGCATATGTGAATGATGATGAATGATGGAGCCTGAGGGTTGTTTTGAATTCATAAAGCTGTATGCCTAATGTATGATTAGGCATATGTGAATGATGATGAACTGAGGGTTGTTCTGAATTCTTAAAACTGTTTGCCTAATGTATGATTAATTGATTTGTGCATATGTGAATGATGATGAATGATGGAGCCTGAGGGTTGTTCTGAATTCATAAAGCTGTATGTTGAGGCATATGTGAATGATGATGAACTTAGGTTTGTTCTGAATTCTTAAAACTGTTTGCCTAATGTGTGATTATGCATATGTCAATGCTGATGGAGCCTCAATGCCTTATGTTTCAATATGCATATGAGAAAGGTAAATGAATGATGATGGAGGCATGAAGCCTCGGGCTTAGCCCTGTTGTGTATTCTGAAAGGTAAAGTGTGGAAGGTAAACATTTGAAGCCTCTATTATTTGTTGCATATTAAAGAAGCTACCTCTCTGACTCTAACACTCAAAGGAGTAGTAAGAGTCAATTGGTTCTTCTTAGTCTGTAGGGAAGAATTAAGCCTACTGCTTAACTTCTTCTGTAAATCAGCTTGCTGATTGTTCCAGACTGCATCCTTATGAACTTAAAGAATAAAAATTTGACCCTCATACATCTGTGTTTTGATAAATTGTGAAAGCTTAAGGGTGGAAGCCTAATCTACCTCTGTGTACTTAATTACTTATTTACTAATATAGATGGATGGTCAAGATTGTGTTACCATGCCTGTATCTGGTGAACCTCCTCTAAGCCAGGAACCTGCAGTGGAAGCTCCCATTG